AATCATACTGTAGGTCTGTTGAGTTCTTCCCTTGATCACCAATCAGGGGCCTTTACTCCAGGCTTGTTTCTGATTGGTGGAAAGATGTTATACCAGCAGAATGCCAAGAACTAAACAAACAAAGCATAGCAACAACTGAGTCTCCCTACTCTCAGCCTAGGCCAACCTGGACGACTCCATCCCAAATAAGGTGGCCTGAACGTTTTATATGAAGGCTCTGATTTACCATTCAGCTGCAATCCATCCTTTAACATGGCAGTCCAATACAGACAGGAAGATAAAACTGAGCAGCACAGCTGAAATAAAGTGTATTTCCAGGTACAATAGACAATGGTTGCACTTGAGTCTGATGAACTTCTATTAGAAGGCCACAAGAAGTGCATAACTATATCTATAAGTAGTTTTTCCAGCTCCTACTAAATGGCTGCAGTTGGGGGTGGGGGTGACATGTTCATGCAGTGTGTGAACTCAGCCATCCAGGAGATGCAAAGAGGTCTCATGGTAGATCTCAGGTGGTGGAAACAGACAGGAAAGGGTGCTGTGGCGGGTCCTGGTTTCCTAGGAAGGAATATTCACATTAGGGCTGTGGTTTGGTGTCTTATCCCTAGGCAATAAGGGAAGGATGCTCTTCCTAGTGAGTGCCAAGTGGTGATGGAGTCTCTGTGCACTTTACTGGAGGAAGAAATTTCAATGCCATCTTATTTTTTATTCTTGTTTACAGAATACATATTGTGGAAACAGGATGAAGTTGACCAGTGAAAAGTTGCCTAAGAACCCCTTTTGTGCCTCTGTATCTCAGCATGCTTCCAAGAACCAAAAACTCTCCCAATGCCGTATGGAAAAAACTGGTACAGATTCTGACATTTAATCTTCCACTGAAAATATTTTCACTAAGATTCTTTATGTATACTAGAGCAAACGAGACAAGGAATATTTGTCTTACTGATTTCAAGGAAGTGGTTACTTTGTAATTACAGTCTTTTCCAGCTTTTTCCTTCAAGAATCTAAAATTGCTACCTAGTTTATCTGGTACAGATCATCAGTCATCTTATAATTATATCCTGATTTTAATTTTACTCTCAGTACTTAAGGAAATGCTTCTAGAAAAGAGAAGCTAGGTGTCATTCCTGTTAAAGAGAACAATGCATGTTTTACTTGAAATTATTATTTGAAATTACCTTTTTTTCCTAGGAACTTTAAAAAAATTGTATTTGGGGGCAGTGCCTGTGGCTCAAAGGAATAGGGTGCTGGCCCCATATGCCGGAGGTGGCGGGTTCAAACCCAGCCCCGGACAAAAACTGCCAGAAAAAAAAACTGCATTTGGGATGATTAGCTCATTTGGTTGGAGTAGTTCTAATTAAGTCTCCTATTAAGAATTTAACTCACCCACAAGATAGCTTTGCCCAAAGACAAACCAATATATGCACACAGACTGCACTGCTGGGGTTCCTACCTGTCTGTGAATAGGCTTAGTGTGGGAGCCAATCAACAAGTACTCTTTATTACACGCATCAGGCACAGTGTCAGGTACCATGATGATGCATTTTCTCTGACAGTACTTTTTCCTTGAGCTGAGGCACCCAGTTTTAGAGATGAAAATTAGGAAGGAAATTAGTATGTTTGATGAATTGTATGTAATTTCTTTCTTCAAGAGAAAAAATTAACATAGTATGGTAAATGGAATTCTTTACCTTTTTTTTTGAGACACAGTCTCACTCTGCTGCCCCTGGTAGAGCAATAGCATGATAGCTCACAGCAACCTCTAACTTTTGGGCCTAAGTGATTCTCTTACCTCAGCCTCCCAAGTAGCTGGGACTACAGGCGCCCACCACAACCCCGGGCTATTTTTAGAGACAGTGTTTCACTGTTGCTTAGGTTGGTCTTTACCTTTTTAAAATCAGATCACTGTAGCCACGCTAATCTGGTGGAGAAGGCATTGCAGCTCTTGAAGGAAAGGATAAGAAGAGGAGACGCTTTTGCATATTTCCTACGAGGTCAACTATATTTTGAAGAGGTATCATTTTTTATTTGTTTCCTGTAATTTATCATTTCCTATAATTCTGTTGTTATACCTCATAGAAAAATTCCAAGTGTTCTGTCACATCACATAGATTATGGCTGTGGCTTTGGGGCACACAGCACACTACCAGCCTACAGAGATAGCTGACCTTTCAAGAAAAGGCATTCTAATGAACGTCATTTATGGGAGTCATTTTGGTGTGAAATCTTTCACACTTACAAAGATTGAATTTTAATATTTTGCTCAAAATATTTAATACAATTTGTAAAATATATTCATATTAATAGCAATTGAAGACTGAGTCTGATCTAGTACCCCAAGGTAGTTCTGTGCACTCTGACACAGCAGGAGGAAGAACTTGCCCTCCGTATGCACAGGATGCTGGGAAAGCCTGAGAGACAGACCCAGGAGGAACTCTGCAAACTCATCCTAACTCCAAGAATGTAGTTTCAGTTCAAGGGAAGATTTGAAAAGGGACGGGCTGTCCCCAGTCCCTCGCCATCCATTAACTATTTGGGCAGTTCACCTTATTCCCACTTCCTCTCTAAGCTTGTGAGGGCACCTTCATTTATTGTGGCAGTGGACATGTCTGGAGGGCTTATCGTGTGCTGTCGTTCTGAGGCTAGTATAGCGCACTGGCAAAGAGCAGGATGTCTCAGCTCTGGGCAGGAGCCAAATACAGTTAGGTTTTTTTGCTATATATCCTTGGACACACATAAATATTAACCTCTTGGTGCCTTGGTTTGGGATTATTTTAAGATCATAATAAAAATAATTGTTTTCTGGGGGCTT